TTACTTATATCTTGATTTTATAAACCGAAAATTAAATACAAATAAAAATTTATTATTATATAATATGAATTTATACATAGAATAGAAAAAATAATATTATAATAATAAAGTAAAAACTTATATAATGATGATAAAAATTAAATCAAAATTCACTACATAAAAAGGAAAAATCATAAACTAATTAGATCAAAATATAAAATTAGATTTGGTTAAAAAATCTTAAAGAAGAAAAAATATTTGAAAACATAAAAACACAAATAGACTGAATAGGGGCGTAAATGAAAAAAAAATGAAGGAGGAAACTCTAAAAAAGGTCACTTAGTTAGCTTGGAAATGGCAAAAAGAATAATTGTTATAATAAAATAGAAAAATTATAATTAATTATATCTTTGTAAATTAACAAATAATTTTATCTAACTATTTTTAGTAATATAAATAATTAATTTTGAGATGAAAAATAATATCAAAATGTTAGAAATAGAATGAATCAGGTAAAACATTTTGAATTTCATATTTTCCATGAATAAAAATATTAAAGTATGGAAGTAGAAAATTTGGAACAATGATTGGAAAAAAAAAACCAAAGAAAAAGAAGTAAAAAAAGTAAGAAAAAGAAAAAAATCATTGAAAAGAAGAGAGAAAAAGGAATTTGGGTCATTTTCTGAAATGGGATCCAACTTTCCACTTGGCACAATATAAGTAGAGGCTCATACAAGTATTATCGGCCACCTCATACTTGTGCCTCGTACATAATAAAATATTTCATGGTAACTCGATAGCTTAAAAGTCAAAACTTATCACTATGATTTGATACTTTCTTTTGTCCATTTTAGTTGTCATTTTTATTAAAAATAACAAGACAAAATAATAATTATTTTAGAAAATCAACCTAGCCCTGTTGCCATTAAAAAAGATAAGCTAGAAAGAAAACTTATAATGTTTCAATAAATTCACGGGATTTCTGGTGAAAATTTTTTTACATGACTAAATGCAATATGATATCAAATCAATAGTAAAAGACATTTAAAAAAAAATTTGAAGTCCCTTGCATTCAAATTTACATACATTTTCCTCCTTTTGCCAAATTGGTTAATTAATTTTAACCGTATAGAGGCAGGTGGTTGAACGTACAAATACAATTCAAAGAACAAAATACGTAACTTTTAATAATGAAAAAAAGAACTGGTTATAGTTATTGTCGATCGCCATTAAAGTATAAAGTAGTATTTAATTTGGAAATCCAGCAGCTAATTTAGCTCTCAAGTCCTTTCTAAGGATTTTGCCCGATGGAGATTTAGGAACAGCATCCACAAAAAATACCCTCTTTATCCTCTTGTAAAATATCACCTGAAAATTCAATTTAAAATAACAAAAATTAGAAAAACCCATTTTATGATACAAATGTTACCAAAAGTACGTAGTAATTATATCAAGTGAAGGATCACAATTTATTGATTTTGTTAAAAAATGTTTTTATAGGGGTAGGAGAGGGAAAAAATGGAGAGGAAATGACAAGGTAGAGAAACAACAATCACCAATAACATAAAATTTAGATAGCCAACCAATTGAATGAAAAAATAATCTCGATTTGACAAAATTTGTCAAATGAAAATAAATGAATTAGACTAACCTGTTTTGTTATGAATTCTTTGACTTCATCTTCAGTAATTGTGGAGCCATTTGATCTAACAACAAAAGCCACTGGAACTTCTCCTGCTTGCTCGTCTTTCATTCTGCGCAAATTTAAACAATTATTAGAATTTCGAAAGTTCGATGCATTAACATTATTGTGCCAAAAGCGCGATCTTATTATAATTATTGACTTACGGAACAACAGCAGCATCCGAAATATTGGGATGATTGAGGAGAAGGGCTTCAAGTTCAGCAGGAGCCACTTGAAATCCTTTGTATTTTATCAATTCCTTTAAACGATCCACAATGAAAAGCTCGTCATCGTTGTCGATATAACCAATGTCGCCCGTATGTAACCACCCTTCTTTGTCTATTGTTCCTGTAGTGGCATCCGGATCATTTAGGTAACCTGTATACAATATTCATATTAATTTGATTCAAATTCAGGTCAACTACATATCAATCAAACATTTAGAAAAAAAAATTCATATAAATTCATTAATTATGTTCCATCACGACATAATGATTAAATACATATATTTTTTGCTAGTGGCCCAACGTGACACACACTTTATGAATTAGTTGTACCAAATCTATATAATCAACGGTAGATATAATTTTAAAAATATAAAAATGCACATTTATAATATTTTGACCCCACTTGAAGATATTGACTCCCGTTAAAGTGTTAAAGTGGAAGAATGGAAGTTTTATTTTCTTTTTGTCATTTTTCTTTTGGAAATTATTGAGTAAATAATGATCGAAATTATTTTTTTTATGATAGAAAAATCACTCAACTAATGGTTCGTCTGATAACGTACCTTTCATAATTTGGTCGCCTCTTATACAAATCTCTCCGGATTGGTTCCTAGGAAGAGATTTGCCAGTATCGGGATCCACAATTTTCATCTCAGCATTTCTAACAACAGTCCCACATGCTCCAGATTTAATTTCGAAGGGTTCTTTAGCAAATGCCAAGCACATAGCCAACACTGGTCCGGCTTCTGTCATCCCATAGCCCTATACATAATAAAAAACAATCACAATCAAATGATCAATCACTATTATTTTAACTTTGTTTTATAATATAATTACTCATATTAGCCAAGTCACCTTAATTTATTGTAAAATATGATTAGGAAAATCACTATCATGTGTGTCTTAATTAAATCGACAAAATTGTTCATTTGTGTTCATTTACTTGGTAGATATGACTTGGGATATCAGTATCAAAAATGTGATATGACATATTACTCCCGATCTGTCTATTTTTACTTATCTTGTACGACCTTGTTACAACCTTAAACGTAATAAAAGAATGCCTATTTAATATAATAAATGTAATATTTTTTGAAAAATTATTATAGTTAATAAAAGGTAAATTATAAATTAAATGATAAATTATTTCTTAATTTTTCATACTAAACAAGTAAAATATGATACTCAATTTAAGCTCTAACGAGTGTTTGCTATAAATAATTACTACCTTTTATTACCTATTAAATTATAAATGGATTTGATGGTTTAAATTTTATTTATGTCTTGTATAAGAAAAGTGGAGTTGCTTCATTGCAATATTTTTTAATTGATTGAATCTTTTCAGCAACTTGAGATTAGACGTTTACCAACCACAAGGAAATTTCTAGGGAAAAACTAGAAAATTCCAAACAAAAGCCTTATTAACATGTGAAATTAAGCTTAATTAATCCCTATAATTAGTGTAAAATATTCAGCAATTAAGCAACAATGTGTATTGAGATCTGAACTTAGATCAAGTCAAATCAAAATCAACAATTAACTAATCATATATATAAGTACTACTATAAAAACAAACGCCAGCCTAAATTAATGTGAACAATTTGATATGTGTAATTAAATAAAAAAATATTAATTAGGAAGTTGTTAGGAAATAAGAATCTTACTTGACCAAGTTTAGCATTAGGAATTTTGGCTCGAACAGTGTCTTCAAGTTCTTTTCCTAATGGTGCAGCCCCAGACATAACGGTTCTTACTGATGATAAATCATAATTATCAACCATAGGACTCTTAGCAATGGCCAAAACAATAGGTGGCACAAATGGCCCTATTGTCACCTTGTAATTTTGTATTAATTCCAAGAATGGAACAATATCAAATTTTTGCATAATCAAAATTGCTGCTCCAACTCTTAATCCACATAGCAAAATGGAATTGAGGGAATATATATGAAACAAGGGCAACACACAAAGCAACACATCCTCACTATGGATGTACAAGTTTGGATTTTCACCATCAACTTGTTGTGCCACACTTGTGACTAGTCCCTTGTGTGTCAACATGACACCTTTAGGTAGACCGGTTGTTCCTGAGGAATACGGCAACGCCACCACATCGTCGGGTTGGATTTCCACCTGTTGAGATATCTTTTAGTTAAAATGATCGTATAACTCAACATGGTATTAAAACAGATTAAAAATCTCAAAAGAACCTAGAAAGTAGAGAATATTCACACATAGTTTGACTAGTGAAAAAGAATCTACCCCCAAAATAAGGCATTTCTCCACATAATATAGTACTATATAATTAAGCAACTAACTAATTAATATTTATACAATTTAACATGATAACAAAATATGCACAAATCCTCGGTTTATTCACCATGATCATCACCCAAAAAACATCTTCACGTGTTTGACCAGTGAAAAAGAACCAAGTTTGTACGTAAGGAGAGTACAAGTCTCAACATAACATAATTACGTAACTAATAAATATGTTTTCTCAATTAACTATTAGATAAGATAATCACACAGTATTACCTGAGGGATTTCATGCTCATCAGCCTGAATCAACTCGGAGAAGTGAACACAACCCTCCGGTGCAGAGTCAATACACACAATCTTCACATCATTCTCCAATGCATAATCCTTCACCTTGTTCACATGGCACGCTTGCGTGACAATGATCTTAGCATTAGAAGCCTTAGCTTGCTTCACAACTTCAGCAGACGTAAACAAAGGATTAGCCATCGTCGAAATCGCGCCGAGGTACGACGCACCAAGGAAGGCGTACACAAATTCTGGCGAATTTGGCAATAAGATCATAATTGTATCCTTTTGTTGGATCCCAAATTGCTTATGAAGACCAGCTGCAACTTTTCTCGAATTGAGCTCAACATCAGCGTACGTATAAATTTGATTATTCGCCCCGTCGATTAAACACGGGCGCGATTTAAATTCCGAAATGTTTTCGAAACAATATGAGTGTAACGGAAGATGATTCGGGATGTAAATATCAGGGAGCTTCGATCGAAAAATTATATCGCCTTGTTTTGTTTCGTTCTCCATCGTTATATTCGTCATTTTGCTTAGCTTTTGAGACTTGATGAGAAGAAGTAAAAAAAAGTAGTACTATAGTTTGAAATTTTGGGCACGTTAAGAGCAATAAAGAAAAAGTGTTGAAGACTTTTTTTAGGTGTCCTGAAGATGAATGTTCAAAGGTGTAGTATATATATATGAGTATGTGTTGTTGAAGACGTGAAGCCAAACTAGAGAGTTGGTGAGAAGGACTTGACGGGAATTTAGGGTTGTTTAGGGGTAGTTCATGGAATTTTTTTAAAATATTTTTCTAGGGGATATTAGAAATGTGACAACATAACAAATTGTAGTGTAGTGGTGAAACTGTTTCATCCTTAATCAGAGATATCAGCTTCGAGCTCTGAATATATATGGAGAAAATTTTGTTCAAAGCGTCATCTTTATATGGGTCATTCAATGTGCAATTCAAATTTTATCGGCACTCTAATGTTCACTCCGGACAAAAGAAGAAAAGAAATGTGAGGACATGAAGAGGTGTGGTTGGTGAAAGTGGTTCTTTGATGAGGATTTGGGGTCCAAAAGTTAGGTGGTACTCAAAGTTGACCTTCAAAAAATGTTAGAAGACTTTTTCTACAAATAAAATTTCACCTACCGCAATATGCCGGAACGGGTTGTTGATGGCCCCCGGACGGTGACATTTTCACCTACTGATCTACACATAATATTATGTTTAATGAGTTTTAAATTACTACCTGTAAGTAGGTGTTACATAAAATATGATGAACAAATCAATAACCTAAACTGGGTGGTAGGTGATCATTAGAATTGATTTATATATAGCGTAGCAAAATTAGATTTATTTTTAAAATAAGGTCAAAACTGTCCTCCTAGTCTCATATTATTCGTAACTTTAATTTCCTATATATTGATGTGAATTGTCATTTAGTAAAAAGGTACGAAATGACTAATTCAGCAAAATTGCATAAATAGTAAGAGGTCTCTCAAATAAAATAATACATTATAAATTATCAAACATATATTGACTAGGGTTAATTTAGTAGAAATTTGTTATTCACTAATGAACTTTGACTAATTCCACTTTCTTCGCTCCTTCATGGATCTCATGGCATATATAATAACTTTAATATAGTACTTTCCGTCCTAATTAAATAGGCAGTCAATGTAAAAATTACTTCGTTTTTATAATTAATTATGTGAAGATTGATTAATCATTTTGGTTAATCTAGAAATCACTCCAATGACATATGTTATCCAAAAGATGTTGGTCTTTGCTTCAACCACATCAAAAACCACCCTTATAGAAATTGGATATTGACTCATCAATCCATTATATCCGCTTCCCCAAATAATAGTGTATTTATACGTTAACGAAAATTTATAATTTGTATTTCTTGGCAGTGATAAATCAAATGGTAAAGAAAAACTACAAAAAAGAGTTTATAATATTAGTTTGGTCAATTGACCTATATATGATAATACTAACATGAAAGAAAAATATTAAAACTACAGAGAATAAATATCCTCATAAGGAAATAATGATCAAATATGGAAGAAAATTATGTAACAACAATTATGATAATATTTTAAATTACACATATGCATTGTGATAAGGCAAAAACGTGTAATAAAAACACTGATGGGCCTAAATTGTTACTCTTAAATTCTGCGCCAAGTCAAAGTAGGTCATTCTTTGTGAAACGGAGGGAGTATATGACTTGTCAAATTATAAGACAAAAACTTGTGTTGAGACCTAAATATCTTAGATGAGCGAGTTCAAAATTGAGTCTTGTTGACAAATTGAGGCGTATCAAAGATAAGTAATATATTTTTATTTGATGTTTGATATTTATATTGAACTTTAACTAATTTAAATCTATACAACATAAAATTTCACTTCAGAAAAACTAAAGCGCTCCCTATAAAAAAAAATAAAAAATTGTGGACCAATGAGTGTCAACTATCAAAACAAAAGTTTGTGGTTGCTCCATTACCCAAACATTTATGTGTGATATACAGTTCAACATTATCTCTAGGTTCCTCCCATACCACGAGCAATCTTGTGGTATTTGTAATTTGAAATTTGAATTTCCTTTCTAAGTTCGACCTACTTAATTAATAATAATATATTTAGAGTTAATTAGAGAAAATGATCAAAATGGTCCTTAATGTACATGTGTTGCTTTATTTTGGTCCTTAATATATCACACATGATTGAAATGGTCCTTAATGTATTACAAAACGTGTTCATTTTAGTCTTTCACCCTAAATCTAACAAAGATGTCAAAAGAAGGTGTTATTTTTAACGGTGGGTCCCACATGTAGCTAACAAACTATACCATTGTTATCTTCTTTGTTAGCCCTAAATAAATAGCTCCATAGACGCCACCATTTTCTCTACTTTCTCTAACAAAATTCATTATTTTCTCTTTTCATAAATATTATTTTAACTCCAAAGCAGTTTTTAGTTGTTAAATTATACTCCTTCTGGTGTTATTGTCGATAGTTTATTCAAGCTTAAATAAAGATCTAAATGAGCCCAAAACAACAACTTGATGGAATCTAATGCAAAAGCTTCCTTAATTGTTAATGATAATGTGAAAATTGCTTACTTCAGTGAATCAAAATGACGGAACAATTTTTTATCACAAAAAACATATAGAAAAATTCAAAATTTTACGATCGAATCAGTAAATAGAAAATACCATAAAATCTCCAATAAAATAAGATACCCAAAGCTTAGCTAAGTGATTTTCCACAAAGCTACATCATATATAAACATGAATTTTAATATGCATAAATGAGAATAGAGAACAATATTTAGAAATCGAGAGATAAAATAATATTTTAAGAGAGAAAATAATATTTTTTGTTAGAAAAATGATGATAATCATGGAGCTCTTTTTTTGGAGCTTGCAAAGAAAATAACATTATTATATTTTGTTAGCATGTGAGATCCACCGTTAAATATAACATCTTATTTTGTAATTTTGGTTAGATTTAGGGTAAAAGACTAAAGTGAACACTTTTTGTAATAGATTAAGGACCATTTCAATCATGTGTGATTCATTAAGGACCAAAATAAAGCAACACATATACATTAAGGACCATTTTGATCATTTTCTCGAGTTAATTACACTGAATACTTGTATAATATGAGTCATTTTCAAAAATACTAATATGACAAGTCTTTTGTTATCTTGATAAAGATGAGCCATATGTTTTTAGACATATTTTTAATAGCGCTTCAGAATGTCAAAAATATTATTTTCAAAACATGACTTATATTGGACCTCACGTACACCTTGCGTGAATGAAATTAACGATACTATTCATAATTTTTTCCAACATTAGTTTGATGTCAATTAAACTATTCAAGTAAGATATTACTCCCTCTGTTTTAAAAAGAATGACATACTTTTCTTTTAGTATGTTTAAAAAAGAATGACCTTTTTTTTTTATAACATTTTCCACGTGATATGTTTAACGCCACAAGATTAAAGGGCAATTTTATATATTTGACATAACTTTAATTTAGGACCACAAGATTCAAAAGTCTTGTTTTTATTTTCTTAAACTCCATGTCAAGTCAAACTAAGTCGCTCTTTTTGAAACGGAGGGAGTATTATTTATAAAGTTTGACATGATTGTTTATAAAACAAAGCAACTTAAACAATAGGAGGATACAACATTTTTAGAGGTAGAAGCAAATTACATTTTGCAACAAATTAATTAATTATAGATAATCTTCATGATTAGAAAACCAATTAACAGCTCCAAAATCCTTTGCTGCAGCAGAAGGAACATCTTCAATGACTTTTTGTTGACCCTTTGGATAAAATATTCCAGTGCGGTCATCTGGGACCCACCAACTATCATCATGATTATTTTTCATCACACCTCTTCACTTGATCTTCACCGTTCAATTTAACTGTATCACTAATCATCTCTGGTGATGTGCTTTTTCTGTGATACGCTTTACGCAGGATTGGCCTGTGTACAACATACTATAAGACTCGTGCTACCGTTATTAGGTTCGTCTGATACATGAGATAAAGATCGTTATAGTTGAACTTCAAAATTTATTTATACTGTTAATAAACGAAACGTTTTGTAGCATTACTCAGTTCATATATTTTGAACGGTTCTTTATTTTGATAAAAATCATTTCGTCTCAATTCAAAACATATTGAGATACGTTATTACTTATTAGAGTTAACAAGTTAGATTATGATAATTTGTCTAGTCCATTTCATCGGCCCCCAAGTAATCTTTCATAGGATATTAATAGACAAAACATTTATTGCTTCCTTTCATTTTGATTCGTTCAATTCAGTCCAACTTGTCCATTTAAAACGTTTAATGCCACATATAATATTGCTAAATAATTAAAGGTAACTAGGTAAGGGACCAACTGGAGTGAGAAAGAGAGATAGAAAATTTGTTTGATGGATTGGACAAATGATCACAATTCACACACGCAACATGAGTCCAGAGGCACGATTACGAAAAAATATATTTTAAATATAAATTTGATCAATTTGACTTTTAGTTCATATATGAACCATTGAATTTTAAAAATTATAGGTTCAAAATGTATAATACTACTAGTTTTAAATTTTAATATACACATTTGATTTAATTAAATAAAAATTTACAATGTTAAATTTTTTAGGAATTTTCAATGTAACACACTTGAAAATTTTGAAAGATTAAAGGAAAAAAACAAAAGCAAAATTAGCTGAAACGTCAAAAGTGTAACCGATAACCACTTGGAAAAGGTGTTACTCACAGAGACAAGATAGATATAAGATTTAAATTTATATCCTCACTTAGAGACATGCATCCAATCATCATCGCATTATTATATGATATACTTTGAACATGGATTCACACATCTATATTTAAATATTTTTTAAAAAATATAACATTATTCTTGAGAGGGAAGCATGAATTCACGTGACCCCACAGCACCCCCTCTAGATACGCCTCTGTCAACATCACATATTTCTGATAAGAGTTGCATATATATGGCCACAAAATTTGAACTTAACTTTAGTTGAAATTAATATTAAGAAAATATCTACTGTATGTACTATTTTGATTGACAGCTATTTATGTCAATTTTTCATTTTTATATATCTTCATAAGTTGCTTACTTGCACTGTGCCTTCAGTGACAAAAAATAGATGGATGTAGTAGGAGTTGATCCAATATGTAGTCAATATGCTACGTATGAATTATGATCGACCATCATAATTATGAATTTTCATTATTTTATTAGAGGTTAATTCAAGTAATTTCACATCAAATGAAAAAAAGTTAATGTAATATTATTAATATTAAAAGTCCTCTAATAAACCTATAATATATTTTTAATCATATATGAATCGTTTTCCTCCTTTGTGACTTAGTTTTAGCTAAGTCTACCTTCCGCTTCCAAGAAATTGTACGTCTTTGAAGACAACTTTTCTTTTATGAGATTAAATGAGATTAAATTATGATATATGCATTTCCAAAAATTTACTTTTCATTAAAATTCATACTGTAATCTTTCCTAGCTAAAATCAGGAGCGTAAATTGATTCAAGGTGGTCATTCAAATACTCTTTAACGAAAAATTGTATTGTACATGTAGAAAATCATATTGAATATATAGGTCAAACCAACTTTTTAGAAATATATAGTAAAATTTTGAACACCATCAGTAAAATTCTTAGTTTCGCCGCTGAGCTTAATGTACGTGATCATTCCCTTAAAAAAAAAGGTTTTAGCTGAAATATTTTGTACTTACTTGATATACATGAAGTTCATGGACTGTGCTCCTCTACCAGCTGCTGCAGTTGCCATTTTTTCACTGACCAATTTGTTGTGTTTTTAAGTGATGTATTTGCTAGCTAGCCAAAGGCTTTTCCATTTTTATAGTAGTTCAATATACTTACAAGTAAAGGGTGGTTAATTAATTGGTTATGGATAATTTAGTTTCCCAAGAAAGAAGCTAAGGATATATTCATTGTTTTTATTATTAAAAAAAAAATCGTCGCATGTGCATAGAATAATGATGGACCATAATCCTTTGTCATAACGATATGATAATGTTAGTTCCACAGGATATGGAAGTATACTAGATAAAATTAACTTCTAGATCATATCTATATCCTTTTTCTTTATCCCCTATCTATTTGTAACGATTATATATCTTCTTTTTTAAAACTATAATGTTCGAATCAATTTTATACAGCTCTAATTTTATGAAATATTTGTCACTTTTCATCGCCAACAAAGTTATATTTTTTTTTTTTGGCACATAGTTGATGGGATTTGGGAGGTGTAGAAATGTCTAGTAATTGAGATTTGAATTTACAAAATTATTGTTATTGGTGTGACCTCTTCATCATTGAATTGTTCCCTTCTAGAATGGGGAAATATAAGAATTTATCTATAATTGAGGAATTAAAAATAGTATTCTTCCAATAACATATTTAAAAAAATGATAATTTCTCCTTGGATGATTTCGGCTATATATCAGCCGTTGAATTGAACGAGTTATTAACCGGTCCAAACTTGAGGAAATAGGTGAATCATGCATATATAGACTAATTTTTTACACCCCCAATGGCTAATAACTAATAAGTAATACCATCAGCTAAATTATTATTTTTTCTTTCTAGAAATTTCAACCAGAAAAAGGGAAAATAAAATAAACTAATAAACACGTTGTTTCAAACATTATGGGGATTTGATCCTGACCTTGTAAGCAAACTAACGGTACGAGTCTTGTCCAACTTAATTATATGTCCATGTTTGATCAACTAGTCACAAAGTTTTAAAAAATAAAGAGTTTTTAGTTAAAATCTGGTAACAAAATTTGTGATTACAAATCATCTTATCAAGAAAAAAAGTAAATATTGATTATAGTTAAATTTCTTTCAAATAAATTAATACACAGGGGGACGGTGAAAAATAATATGATTAAATAATGTTCATCATGAGCATCACACACTTTTAGTTAGTCCTTGCATTGTGGAAAGGCCACTCACAAAATTTGGTCAATAATTGACTTGATTAATTAGATGTCGTGGATGAGATCACTCCTTCAAACAACTTTGCATATCCTCAAGAAAATTAAAATAAAATAGAAGTAACTCCCAAAGAGTTTTTTTGGATATGTCATAATCCACTACTGCTGAAGTGAATAGTGAATAGTGAATATCCATTTTGCTAAAATAATGAGTTGTGCAATGATTTTCTTATCCATCTAACTGGTCCACACACCTAACTGGGCAATGGAAATATGGTTACATTATGAAAGTTTCTTTTTCCATTCCTAGTTAAGTTGCTCACAGGCCTTATCTTCACTTCATCTAGAGTGAACAAATAACAGCCACACTCCAAAATCCACCCCCCACCCCCCAACAAACTCACTTATGATATTACACTAGGTAATATACATTCGGTACCTGCATTGGAATCTAACAATTCTAGATTCGCACTACTTAGGCCCCATCCACTACATCATATCTTTGGTAGTAGGTAACATGTTAGGTTGGTGTTGCTAGCATGGATAATTGCAGATCACATCAAGAACATAATCATTATTGATTGAAAGTAAAGGAGGAACCATAATTAATTGATATTTATGCAAGATAAGTCCAATTTTTTTTTTCTCATTTCAAGTATCTTCCACGACTTGGCTTACTAGAGAGCCATCAACAACAACTTACCAATGTAATCCCATAAGTGGGGTCTGAGGAGGGTAATGTACGCAAACCTTAACCCTACCTTGTGAGATAGAGAGGCTGTGTAAGTTCGATTGAATTGGTAGGTAGGACAATCATCTTTTCCACCTTCATGTTAATGAAACTGATAGCTCAAATTGCAGTGATGAAGGATAACATAATTGGTTTTTTTTTCCTGTTCTGAAAACTTATATCATTAACGTATAAATGGTAGAAACCTACATTGTTACAGCAGTATTGAAGCTATGATTCTGAGTTTCATGCATATTTTCTCTGTTTACACCTTGGAATGGATTGGTGCTGCTAAAACCAGCAAGCCTCGTGATCTTGAAAATTGAAAGTACTTGGTTAACCCTGTTGACAACTTCTCACTTTTCAGCATTGTATTAAAAACTTGCATCCTCTGTTGTTGGTCTCCTCAAGAAATAACGCAGGCTATTCGCAAGAACCTATTCGAGACTGAAAACTGTCAATAACTTTCTTCAAAGCTACCAAGGTCTAATGAAAGAAATTGTATATTGCTTCTAACTTAGCATCGGTTACCTGTTGAAGGGGCTTGATCAGCGCTTTGCCCTTGTAGTTGACATGAAATTTCGCCTTAGCAAGCAATCCCTACACCAAAATGAAACTTTTCAACTCTATGCTAGCTACTGCAGGTTAATACTTATTAGACGGCACAACCACTACCTAAACAGTTTAGTGAAATGATTTGGAAAACCGACTGAAATAATCTCACCTCAGTATCGAACTCTCCTGATTCAACATCAATGTTTATGTCAGTAATGGTCTTGACAAGATCAACTATCAGTCCAGGTCTGTCTGCTGTCTCTACACAGAGTAAACTGCAAAATAGAGGCATTTTACTTTTCTCTTCAAGTTGTGCACTAAATGGATCACTTAATAAGGTTGATTATTAAGTCTAGCAGTATTAGTATGTACTGATCAAAACCAAGAAACAGAAATATGACCTTACCTTCTTTCAGGACCATCGTCATAAACATGGATATGGGTCGCTATGTCCACGTCAATCTGAAAATTTTCAGCACAAACAACAAAGTAAGATTTAAGTTAAATGGTTGATATGAAAGTTAATGTAAATCAAGCCTTGGTTTCTGTATCAAATTTGTACTAGAAAGAAAGCTATAAGTCATTACTATGATGCAAAGACTAGCAGGAGCCTCGCACATTCAGAAAACAACCCCCCACTCCCACATTGACCCCCACATGATGTTCAAAATAACCAATACAGACGTGCATAATCTTGTTAATGGCGTATGCACAAATTGGAGGTGAGGAGTGAGGACAACATATGAAGGATATTAACAACCTTCTGATATGGTTGAAAAACACCAAAAGCTTCCCCCATAGCTAATCTGGAGCTAGATTCCTGCACCAGAAATTATGCAGTAAGAAGAAGCAGCTATATATGAATCCCTCAGGAGGTACCAGATCAAGCAACTGATGCTCAACAACTTATTGAAGTTCTACCGGGTGGTATTCCATCATATTATTGATGATCGTCAAACGAATTGCTTCAAGCAGCTCTGGATCATTGACCTTCCTACCCGTAGAACTAGAAACAAGTCCCAATAATGAAACAATCAGAAATTCAATCAGGGAACTAATGTTGTTAAACCCATAATAAAAGATTCATTCGAAAAAGTGTTTTCAGATATCTGGTGACTGATAGTATGCAAGGACTAAGTATAAAGAGGAACAGAAAAATCACCTAGCAGCATAAAGGAACCCACAACATGAACTTACGCTTTTGTGATGGCGAATGTGTTATGCTTCCCAGATGAATCAAGACATACATTAGCCTTGACAACATTCAGCCCAAGGTTTTTTAATGCATTCATCTGAAATACACTTTGCAAATCAAAACCAGAACAGACAGCAAATAGCACTCAACACTTGAATCATAAGAGTAACGGATTCTTACTGTGTCGAGAAGTGCCCCAAGGCGATCCCCAAAGGTAACCTCTACGATCGTTGCTTCTGGATCTGAATCCAAATCGATTACAACTTTGGGTGTTGGAACTGCAGCAGTCTCTTGTGAACTTCCATCCTGCTTGACCAGTTATTACATGAATAAAAAACAAACATCTCAATCTCAGATAAAAAATTAAATAGCAAGGAACAATTACATCAATCAGCTAATATGCTTAGATACCTCCACAGCTGTAACCGATGCTTTAGGAATAATTGTACTCCCAGAAAAAGCTAATCTGGAAAAACAAAGTAGATTGATTTCAACTGTTGCCCATCTAATACTACAGTAATTCCAAGTCCATATAATTACTAAACTTTAGGAAGTCCATAGATCTAATTCAAAAATTATCTTACTATCTCAGTTCTGAACTTATTTCACCTTACTGGTGAGCGCTCGATTCCCAATCTTGTAATCCCCTCCCGATTTCCCTTTTCTCTACCCGCAATTCAAAAAATAAAAATTGCCCTTTCCTAATTGACCAATTTATCTCACAAATTTAACCAGTCCTTGAGAAAGTACCAACTACAGAGACTTCTTTATGATCTCAATTAAAGAGTACATCATTTATCCAGCTGCATTTCAAATTTTGTGATTAGGTTAAAGGATACTAGTTGACCAAGACTCACAAATGTACTAGAAAACATTTTTAAAAATTGGGAGAAAATAGGATTCCACAATCAATAGAAAGCAAATTAACTAAAGATGAATTAAACCAAATTCAAACAAAAATGTAGCTTACCTTTTGGGTGTAATGTGCAGTTTTTGGACTGGATTCAAAGCTAAAGAGCCATTAAAGAAGCCTGGAGTTGAAATGGGTTGCTTCTCTATAAGTTTTAAACTAGTGGGCATTCCACAAGAAACCATAGCCACAGCCATTTCAGTTCAATAATATCAAGAAAGAAGAAGATGCACTAAAAAGTAGAAAATGGATTCCTATTCTAATCTTAAGATATATAGTAGACAAAAAGATATTTAAGAAAATGAAGCTATGGGGGCTAGAAAATGAAGCAGATTGCTTGTTCTAGTAATATCCGCCATTATAATGGGAAGCCACCTATTATTGACTTTATAAGTATTTATATATCAACAACTTGACAGGCACAAATCTGTGGTCCTCCTTTTGTCTTTGTTGATAAACTCAGCCGAACAGATCACTCTATTCAATCTTTCGATGGATTGGAGCTGTTATTTTAATTTATGTGACGTAATTTAATTTGACATATAAAATAGGACGAAGGAAATAGTAAATATAAAAATGTGTTAGTAAGGGTGATAATTGAACGGGTTGAATCAAATTTGAACGAATCATTATGAGTCAAGACAATAAATGGGTCAAGAGTCAAAGCGGAGTGGATAATGGATTATAGAATGGGTTAAGACCCAACTCAATTCAATTCTTACTAAGTTTTTGATTGTTTTATTTGTTCTTTTACAATAGTTTAGCACCTAATTAAATTATTTTAAAATTAAAAGTATTTTGACAACATCTCTCAAGTCAATTTGGGTTATATATCAGTTCAATATTTATTAGATTGAAATGAGTTGAGCTAGTAAATGAGGGTACGGATTGGATGAATTAAGTGGGTTGAATTTAATTTTACCATCCCTATATATTATTAATAGAGAGATTAGTTAAGATTTAAGAAGTGTGTTATTTTATGTAGAAATTAGTTATGAAAAAATTATTTCATCAACGATTCTACATAAAATAATATATAAGTTTCTTTGTAATTATTATATGTATTAGTCATGTGAATCACTATAATACATAATTCTTTTCAAATATCAATTATGATATTATTTATGCAAAATATAACTTACTCTAAACGTTATGTCCTGATTTTATTTTATTTTTTTGTCTTTTTCCCCCTCATATATAAATATAGGCTGAAAATTACTTCTACACTATATGTGTGTGTATAAAATAATAAAGCAAATAGAAGAATATTGTAGAGAAAGAAAAAAGAGAGATGATTATATTATTTTTCTTGCGGATGTAACATAATAAATATCCTTTTATTTTATTTATTATAGTGAAAGAATTATTTTATCCCAAAATAATCAACTCTTCATTTTTCTTTAAAAAATAAAAAATTAATAGACATTTATTCGAATATAAATATATTTATAACGACATGAATTTATGAAAGATAAATTGCGAAAATAATCTTAAAATTTACTTAACCTAATCCAGAACTACACCGTGGAAGTTGTTTGTGGATTAATTTGGTTCCTTCTGAGATTGTTTTCTCTCCTTAGGACTTCATTGAATTTTTCAAATTACAAATCACCTTTTACCCTCACTTTGTAAAAAATTAAAAATTAAAAATAAAATAGTGTATGATAAAATATTACAGGAATAGATTTCATGTTTTTTTTCCTTGTAAAATAAAGAAATTTTATTAATTGAAAGATTATATATCCTTAAAATGGTACCTTTAAATTCATAAAATTAGGCTAAAAAACACACGAATTAAAAAGATCGAAATACCTGATTTGAATATATACGGTAACTTAATTAATGTGAACAAGATGAAAGAAATAATAAATACATAATTGAAACAAAACAATAAGTTAAATAAATAGACAGGGTATGACCGTATGAGATCCGGTGTCAATGATTAATCGAATAAGCTTGATCTTATTGATATTAATTAGAAGTTTAGAACAATGAGTTAAAATTGTTGAAATCACTGTTAAGGCAGCATTTTTTATTTTTTTTTACTGAAATCGCTGCCAAGGCAGCTATTTTAAAAAATAAAAATAAAAATTTACTCAACGATTTTTAAGATTTTTTTTTCTTTACTAAAATCACTATAGTTGGAGCGATTTTCAATTTTTTCTTAATTTTCTGAAATAAAATCGCTGCTAATTTTAATTTTAAAAATATTTTTTTATAAAAATGCTGTCATAGCAGCGATGTCATTTTTTTTAAAAAAATCGCCAAAAATGCTGCACGGGCAGCGATCTTAAAAATTGGACAAAAACGCTGGTAGGTCAGCGATTTTGATTCGTTTGACGGAGTAACAGCGTCAGAAGAAAATCGCTACGTCAGGAACGAATTTGCCCTTTTGGTTAAAAATAATAATTAATGCACCCTTTTGAAATTTTTGACAATTTTTTGTGCTCTTCAGGCTCCGGACTCCAATGTATTGCTAGTCGGTGAATCTATATTCGAGTTACAATGAGTACATAGAAAATTAACTAATAAAACTTTATTATTCGCATAATTCGATTTCTCAAAAAATTGTATTTTCCCATGTTTGCATTTGTTAGGTAATAATTCAGAAAGATTGAAAATCTTTTAATAATGATTAAGTTCCTCCTTACTCTATTCAGTGACGATTTGATATTTGATCTCACAATTTTGAAGTTAGACGAATTTAATATTATAATATTATAATATTATACTATAATTTGTTGATTGAGATTGATGATAAATTTGTTGCCCACTATTATTGCTGAATCAGATCCAACTTGTGCTGCTATATGATACTAGTAAAGGGTAGCCCGTGCTGTGCTCGGGACTAAAAATACTACGTTAAATATTTATGTAGATATTTTATTATAATTTTTAAATAATTTGGTTATATAATTAATTATTAATTTATTTGACTAATTATTTTTTACATCCTTTTTTCAGTTAATTAGATTTATTTTATTCTATTAGAAATTGTTGACTTAAAAAGGACTATATAATTATTTTTATTAGATTAAAATTATTGATTATTTTTTAAAATTTTAATTTTGTTTACTATTACTTTATACAATTATTTAAAGATAAAAATAGTATTGAATGAAAATAATAAACTTGTATTGACTTGTTAAAATAGATAGGTGAAATAATAAAGTGAAAATCATTAATTGAAAAAAAATCTTATTAAATCGATACTAATTCTTGGAAGCACACAAGTTGACGGAGACGTGTAAGCGAAAAGGAGAAGCCCGTGCAATTATTTGAAATTTGTAATTTTTATTTGTGGCACTTTTTATTTCTTAAATACAATATTTTTTAGTAATAATATTAGCGATATAACATTAATATTAGAAGTTAAAGGTAATTTATACATAAAAAGATTGAGAAATAAAATAACCAAACGTATTACTTAGTTAATAGCAATAAAATATGATAGAATTTTGGATAATTAAACCAAAAAATTAGATTTATAACATCAGGGATATTTACTACACTTAATTAAGTCGTACTTATTTAGTATGATTTTTTTTATAATATAAAATTTAAAAACCTGCATAATTAATATATGTATAAATAATAAGAATTTATATATTATTTTATGACAGATAAAAGATGGAATAACTAAAATATAAATAAGTGATACCTAAATAATTAATTTTCATAACTTAGATTATTTTAGAAAAACTGTATTATTAATTCTAATTAACTATGAAATATCCCCTTTTAATTAACACTCAATAAGATAAATGATGACAAAACTAAAAAAATGTATTCAAGTATCAAAACCATGTGTCGTTCAGTGAGTATGCAAAATCAAAGGCTGCAAAAGGATACGTGTTGGACCCAATTTTCACAAAGAAATTGTGTTGGATTTCTTGGGGACATGGATGTCTAATACTTTTGTGTAAGATGAAAAGGTACCTATATGAAGCTTTTAAGTACAATAGCTGTAAAACGCAAATATAACATAATACCAAAAATGCCCTTAAAGCGAAGCAATCATGTTTGACAGAAAGTTGTATGCTGATTCCCATTATTATACACTAATTAAATTAAAGCAGAACAAAAGAAATATTTTTTAATTTTTTTTCCAAAACACAACGTGTCTACTTTAGCATGAAGTCTTGAATTTAAAACTAAAAGTCATAGCTAAAACGGATTCCATAATTTCGAAAAAATTATACAGTAATTAAATTAGAGTAAAACAAAAGAAATAAATAATTTTCTATTTTTTTCCCGAAACACCCTGAAGCAGGAACGTCGATTTTAAAAGTTTTAGCTAAAAAGGATCCATAATTTCCAAAAAATTATACACTAATTAAATTAAAGTAGAACAAACGAAATAATTTTTTAATTTTTTTTTCAGAAGACGCTGAGCAGGCACGTCGACGGAGCGGTGCCTGCTTCAGCACCAACTATCAGAAAACGCTGAAGCAGGCATGTCGACGGAAAGGTGCTTGCTTCAGCACTAACTGTCTCCTATATAATAAGAGAATTTTATGACTATCCACGTACATATGTGATTTGATTTTTATTTTATGCAAAACCATATATATAAAATTGAAGGATTGATAATAATTATGAAACCATAAAGTAATCAGAAGTTATTACTTATTATATTAAACTTGAATATATTGTCATTGATATAGAAATAAACTCTCCAAGCCTAGTAATTAGACTTGAATTTTAACTTTATTTGAAAATTAATCTATATATAATCACTTATCAATAGTACTCCCTCCGTCCCTATTTACTTGTCCATATTTCCTTTTTTGGTTGTCCCTATTTAGTTGTCAATTTTGACAAATCAAGAAAGGACAACAAATTTTTTCCTATTATACCCTTATTTACACTTCTTGAAAATTGTAAAAGTGTATGTTGTTTCCCTCCAATTTATTTCACTTGAATTCAAATAAGTGGTTGTAATTTTGAAGTGAAAAGTTGTCATAAGGGTAAAATTGTAACTTCACTGTGCTAATCATTATTGCCTTAATCTGTGTGTCATTTCTAAAGTGGACAACTAAAAAGGGACGGAGGGAGTATTTTTTAAGGCATTTAGCTGACAAATAAAGTAGGCATGTCCCGAATAAGTAATTAAATATATTGTTTTAATTAATTATTTTTGTATTAATTTCACTTTAAAGGAGAATTTAAGGATGTCAAATTTCAAATCAGTATAAAAAAACACTAATTGGAAACATACAATTTTTTACATATAAAACCTTTCTTGGCATGTTTACATATAAAACCTAGGCCGAATTGTTAGTTTAGCATTAATAGTTATCATCCGTAATAATCTAGATTACTAGCAGCAAAATTAGTTCAAGGAAATTTTAATTAGATTACATGTCTGCAAATAT